ACACACACACACACACTCTGCTCGCCTCCATCTCCAGGTTGCCATGGCTACTGGCTGCCTGGCTAGCCAATGGATGGCTCTTGTTGCATGGGCCCACCGACAAGCAAATCTGAAGGGTTGGCTTTGATCAACCCAGCAGATTGCTTTGTTGAGTTTATCAAGGATTTTTTCTCCCCCCCCCCATCATTTTGTTTTTTGGAGAAAAGATAATCAAATTGGCACTTTGGATATTGTTTCTGCTCTTGCTAAATTAACAGCAAATCTGAAAATCTTTGATAAATGTCCCGCTTGGTTAGCCATCGGTGTCTGATCCACGGCTTGTTTTGTACCTGCTCTGTCATTTTTGCTGCTGTTCTCTGTTTATCGTAGAGCTCACAGGGCTCAAAGTCCCTGTTGGCCGATATCACAATGATGACACTTTGTCAAATGTGATTTTGTAATCCAATGTCTCGTTTTGAACTGTTGTCGGCTACATAAAATTGTTTTCAGTTCATCCAAAGGAAGACACCATGTTCTCCCATTCAGAGTTTGCTCCGCTCATGTAAAACCCATTAATACAGTGGTATTTTTTCTTCACTCAGTGCTATTTTGTAACACCCAATTTGTTGCCAACTAACCATCTGGGTCACACTAAACTGATTATGCATTCAACACCAGTCATTTGCATAGCTGATGAGTATTCCCACTGAATTAAATAATATTGTCGTGCAGTTGTAATGACATTTAACATTAGAGTAACAACATTTCTCAGAATCAGAGAGAGATGAGTTCAGCGGAGCTGGAAAATGTTGTGTTGAGTGGTCGAGGTCCGATCCTGTCTGCCGAGCACACAGCCTGTCAATCTCAATAGCCTAACTCAGTGTAATCACCTCCAACGGGGTCTTTATTAACGAGACTGAGCCCTCTGCAAACATTCACAGACGTTATGCAGCTGCAGTAGCATGCACTCAAACACACACCTCCTTCTGGCTTTTTTTAAATGCACTCGGCCGAGGGTGACCATAACCAATATGATTAGACTGCCATGGGATGATAGACGGCTCATATTGCACCTTCACATTACCTTTAAAGAGGGAGCTGTATGGATGAAGCACAGAGACACATTGCAAATAAATCATAAATATAAATATAAAACAATTCACTGCCATTTGTGACATTTTTCTTTTTCTTTACAAGGACAAAGCGTTTCTAAATAAATAATAAATGAAATCTGTTAATACCATCTTTTATTTGAATACACCACAATAAGGGTATAGTGATGTAATAATAAGTGTAATTGCTTCTGCTTTGGACTCCATTGTTCATCACTCTCTGTTACTGAATCCATCTTGTTCTACTTGTTTTAACCAAATTCTAGGCCTAAAGTGTATAAGGTATGTCGGTTTGATGAGGTTGAGTTCATTTTACAAATGTTGATTCCGCATTGGATTTACCTTTGCTTTGTCTGACAAGTTTACCATGGTGCTGCTACCCAGGGGCGGATCTAGAGGGGTGGCACCCCAGTGTGGTGACAAATACTGTCAAATTTAACAAATAATTAAGATGGATTTTAAAAAAAACATGTTAAAAACTGAAATTAATTGAATGATCTGTCATGGCCACATTTTAGGAAAAGTGATTAGTGGCTTAAAGCTGCAGTAGGTAACTTTTATAAAAAATAACTTTTACTCATATGTGCTGAAACATTCACCGGGCCTGAACAAAAACAACCAATCAGAGCTAAAAAGGTAGTCCATTGTTGAGTCTCATTCCCAGGACATCCAATATAGAAGCTGGGAATGAGACTCAACAATCAACTATCTTCAAGGCACGTGCTTGTGTTTCTATCTGCTTGCTCATATTTCTGTCTTTCTCTGCTCTGATTGGTTGTTTTCATTCAGGCCTGGTTGATCCTTGCAGATGTCATTAGGAGCACTACAAGAAACCTGATTGTTTCACAGATTATCTGTATCATGTTCTACTGTCAGGATATAGTGAATAGTGAATCACCTACTAAAGCTTTAAGTTCAAAGAAAAAGGACATACATTTTAAAAAATGACTGAAGATTTGGAAATATAGCAACTTTCTAATGCCACCATTTTAATGCTTTACTAATGTGCCACAATAATTTTGAGTTCAAATACTTTATTTAGGGGCTTTTCCAAGCAAAATTGATAGATGCGATTGTCTGTGATCAGCATATATTTCCTGTAAAGTCTGTGAAATCTTCTTGCCACCCCATATTTCTCTAGATCCGCACCAGCTGCTACCATGTTTGTGTGTAAGAGGTACCCAGCAAAGCAAACCAAAACAAGCTGTAAAGTTTCATCCAAATTTCCTCAGTGACGTGTAGAAAAAGGGAACATAAAATAAGCTGTACTGTAACTGTTTATCTGTTCAAACTAATTATAACCTCTCTTGTATATATAGCTTATATCTGTCTATATATTATAGCAGGGCTACATGTTGGCTGGGTCTGCACTTGGTCCAAAGCATCCAGCTGCTTTCTCTGAGTCTTAGCATATATATTATATATAGAGAGAGACACCATTTTTTCAAGTCTTTGTTTTTGGATTAGAAGAGCACTGTACAGTCTTGTCACGGGTCCACCCATCATTGTGCTCCACCCCCCACACACGCCTCACTGTTCTCATTAGCTCTGCCACTCAGCATCCTTCTCTCCCTTCTGAGTGGAAACTGTACTGTCTCTATTATCTGTGGTGTCTGAGACAGCAACCATGACCAGTACCGCCATATCTATCCAAGCTGAGCACGTGCCCCATCAGGGATGAGGGCCCGACTCATTAGCATTTTGCAGCCTTTGGTTGGGGGGACCCTTTGTTGTGTAACACAAGGTAGGGGGCTCGTAGGGGCAGTAAATGTAAACGGTGCTTAGCACACCACACACCCTGTGCTATCTTTGTGATTATTAGGTAAATAAGGATAAAAAGTATGGTAAAGAAAGTTATGTCTTGGGCAAAAAAAATGACTGTGACGTGCTTGTGTTTCTATCTGCTTGCTCATATTTAATGAACCATTACAAATAAATTCAAAAAGCAGAAAAAGCAGTGTCTTCTTGCTTTTCTTTTGTTAAGAAGAATGGTGAAAGATTAGCGATTGCAGGTATCTGTCTGTTCTCCTTGTCTTGTTTGTCTTTGTGAGACAGACAACATTAAATAAATCCACATGGAAGAGAATTTTGCTCTCACAACTTGCTCCGCATTCTGGCATGAGCTCTGACATCCTCTGCAGGCCCTGCATGTTGCCCTCATGTGAAAACTGAAGAATATATTATTTTTGCATCCTGTCTCTAATATATTCCAAGAACTCCTCCAATGTATAGAGCAATATGCATGTCAAAGGATGTCCAGAAACTTATTCCAAAATAAGATGTCATGTGCTTCTTAGGCCTCAGAGTTAATGTACAATGTACAAATGATGCTGCTTTATGCAAAAGAACAACCACAAATGTGTGATATTACATTTGCATTGTTCTCTCATCCTTAGTTGGGTGTCATGGTTAGAGTTTTTGTCACATGTGGATGATGCTGTGTCCAATTTGTCGTGTGCTAATGAGTGACATTCTGATTCATTTGAAGGGTTGTGCTAAAACAGTACCACTACATACAACTCTGCCAGCCAATCCGAGATATTGGCTGGGTGCAGACTCTAAAGCAACACCTGTGGGGCTGTGCACTACCCAATCCCAGGTAATCAATCACCTGAGTGGCGAAAATAGATAGACCACAATCACAAATGCCACTCATTCCCATTCATACATACTTGTGATTTACTTTTGTTTTCTATTACAGTGGCACAGTTTTGTTTTTCTGGTGAACCACCACATTATCTCTGGTCTACTCCTCCGGCCATAGCTCCTTTGTATTTCTCTTCCATATGGACACTAGGATAGTCGGGGTGGGGGTTGAATGGGGCTGTCTGACTGCCTGCTGTCACACCCTACATGTAAGGCTCCTTAAGGTGCCTTTTCTTAAGGAGGCCTCAGTTTTAGTCCAGTCATCTCCAGCCATCCTCGAACCTCTGTGAGCTCCTGTAATGCACCCACTCCTCATGGTTAAAACAAACTGCATGACTGTTGAGTTATCCACCCAGGGAGGAGAGTGGGGATCCCCATTCGGCTCATTTATGAGGCAGGTCACTCATGTAGTCACACTATAAACTGAAGCACTCTGCATCACTGGGTAAAAGATTCATACTGTTTTTTTCATTCTCAATCTATAAAGCATGCTGCCACTGTTTTCTGTTGGACCTGCAATCTGATGTTATGTTTAATAATTTGATCTAGACTCTGCACTATACCTAGAATATCTGAGTGTTAGCTTGGATAAAAGATGAAGGGTAAGTATGAATGGAATGAGGGAAGCGGCTCTGCTTTGGAAAGGGACTGTTCAAAGGAAATTGTAAGTGCATGTTGATCTTCACTCTATCTTGTACTGCTACTTTATTTTTATTTTACTGTATCTTGTAGCAATTTTTTCACAGAACACCCCGAGACCCTCATTGCGCTATTGGCATCCTGTAGTTCGTAATGTCGCTGTGACTAATCGAATGGGTCAGAGTATGGGTTGAAATCAATGCCCTGTATTGATCAACGTGCAAAGCTGTCCAAAGCAACATAAGAAAGAAACCAAAAGCTTCAATTTGCATGTGCACGACCTTAACAATGATTTTTAGTCTAACTTAGCTATGAATTACATGATTTGTAAGTCACTTGATTCCATCAAGATTGCCTCGAGGCATTCTTATGTAATATTTGTGATAAGCAAACAGGCAAAGAAGCCCCGTTGTCTCCTGTTCAGTTTTCATCCCTAAAACAGAAGCCTGACATTGTCCTCTGAAATGAGCGGTCACAGGGTGCTCAGCTCAACCCAATGCCTTGTTGTTCGCCTGAGAGAAATGCCTCATCCTGTGTTTCTTTCTGTCTCCTTCTTCTTCTCTGGTACCTTAACCATGTGCTGCCTTCTAGAGATGCTAAAGACGAGCCTCTCCGACCCAGTCATCATCATTCCCAGGGTGCTGCTGGAGGAGAACCACAGCCACTGCTGGAGAGACCCGAACCTCGGAGGAGCAGCGGAGTCGTACGCTTTGCCCTAGATGGGAACCAGACTGACTAGTTCTGCAGAGGCAGATACACCTTATACAGAGACTGCTACTCTGTACTGTAAATGTCTAGTATTTGCAACTAAGTTGGAATAGGAAAAGAGGTGAATCCCACAAAAAAAAAACTCCGCTATCCAAGAGGGAGCCCACATATTTGAAACACGCATGTTTGAGACAGCTTTTGACTCTAAGCTCACTGCTGTTTGACCAATGTCATTATTGCAAAGGTGCTACATCATTTTTTTCTGGTTTCATGCAATTTCTTTAAAACAAATATGTCAATAATATTAGAAATACCACACCATTAAGTGCTTATACAACAATTACAAAAACTGTACTGTACATTTATCAGTTTTAGTGTAAATAAATAAGCATAACTTGCAGATTGCCATACTGTATTGTAGTTTTTGTTGTATGGTCAGTCATTTTCAAATAGGGGGGTTGTATGGTGTGAAGTGAGGATGAGTTTAGCATGTACCATAAGCACACAGCTCCTAAATTTGGATGCAATGTGACACTTTAACGGTCCATTAAGCTTAAGTGCATGACAAAGGTCACTGTGTGATAGAAACACTGAAAAACAATACATGAATGATTATTGAACTCATCGTTTGAAGAGTTACAATACTAGTAATAGGAAACCTGAGTCCTTGGTATATTTTCCAAAATTATTTTAAAAAAATCAATTCAAACATGTTTTTTCCAAACACACATGTTGAGGAGTAATATAAATATTATTCAAACATTATTCAAAGCCAAGTATTTCTCTATGTCTTTAAAGGAGAACTCCACCGATTTAACACATCAAAGTCTCTTTATACGATTTGGGGTGGGCTGTATAAAGTCTGAGAAACTGCCTCAAAAAATCGATGGGGCTAAAGACTACCAGTTTGAAAATGAAAAAGTTCTGGACATGTGGAGTTAGACCGAAGTGAGTTAACCACACCGCTGTAGCCCTCTCCTCATCTCTGCTTGAGGCTAGCTGCTCGAAGTTACATTAGCAACTACTAGCACACACCTGGATCACTGACCGAATTGTCAGCAGCCATGTTGCATTCTGGGTAATGTAGGCATTAGCTTTTTAATGAGGAATGTGTAGAATAAAAAAGACTGTAATTCTGGTTCTGCTGCTTTTAGTTACACACTGTCCATCATATGTCCAGAAACGTTATAGCAGTGCAATGCTAAATCGGTGGAACACTATTTTAAAAAGTGTATGGAGGGCGGGGGTGTTTCCAGAGGGGGGGTTGGGGTAGCACTGGAAAACTGATTGGTCACCCGAAGTGCCTCCCACACTGTCTTTCAGAGGGTGTAGTGGGCTCCGTTTTAAAGCTAGAGTGAAGATCCTGGTATCATATGAAACTGGATGACCTAAAGCATCCATTGTTACCAACCATTCCGTGTTAGCATGTTGGGAATACTTCTGCATACTGAAGTCCATTAAAATGTGTTGGAATTGCATAAATTGGGAATGACACATACTTCATGCCACCTGCATAAATCAGTGCCCCCCTTGTGCCACCCCAGTCAAAAATATTTACATTTTAATCAGTAACCATCTGTGAAAAATCCTTGAACAAGGTTATGAATCTGACAAGACAGCCGTCTGTTCTATGGACACATGTCTGTACATGTACTGAGGTTCAAGACCCAGGTCATGTTTATTCCGACAAACAACAAGCCTGGAAATAGAAAGCTTGTCCATTGTCAAACAACTCTCCTTGTTCAACGACATGTATCCCTGCTGGACAAAAACTAGGACTCACTGTGCACTCCTGTCTGATGTCCATGTCAGCAACACAAAGGAAAGATCGATGCATTCCCTACTTTCCTTAAAAAGCACAAGCAATTTTTGGCAACCTTTTTGGGTGCCTGTATAAAGCAGGTACTCATATTTCATTTATGGCTTACAGTCCAGTGCGTAAGGGAAAGAGTGATGAAGAAGCAGGACAGGGATCGAGGGAGCTGGTTTGAGGTTTTGGTGTAGAGAAGCTGTTTCCTTGTCACAGTTCATGTTTTTTCTGATTAATTAGGCTTCCCTTCCTCACTATATATATGATTATGCTCATATCTCCTCACATGTATACAAACAACACAATGTATTGTGTTGTACACATACAGCGTAGGTGAGCTTCAGATATGGGGTCTCATCATAGCACTGGTGCCCAAGAAACACTCAATCTGTCAGCCTCGATCAGCAAGTCAGCCATCTTGATCAAATACTCACAAATTATTCAAAATCCAAAGAGGACAGTGTGAAGAGAATGGATCACCAATCTTTCTGTTGTTCTACACTGTTCATATCTGTTGGTAGAAAGAGAAATGCCAGTCAGAGCTCTATATTGCATTTCTATCACTGTTGTTTTTGCTGTGACACTTATTGCATTAATGTGCAAACCGCATTTTATTTCCTTTTACAGGTCCCATAACTTCCTGCAATTTCCTCGAAAGGAACTGATATGTAACTATAAATTTATCTAAAGGTTCCTGGAAAGAGATTATACAGAAAACTGTATTTGAATATCTATATATAATATATATAAGTAGACAATTTTCACACTTATTAACCTAGATTTGAGCAATCTTAACCTCACAAAATAATACTTGACTGATTGATTTTGTTATTAATTACTTATCTATTTCAACCCTTTAAACTTGCAATCAATATAAAACACAGATATAATGTAAGAAATCAAATTATATTCAGATTTTCTCAGGAAGAAGACACTGAAGACTGTACTTACTTTACTCTGCCTTGCACAACCTTTATATCTGTTTAAGGTAATACAAAGGCAGAGTGCTGTATTTGCATTATGGGTTAGGTTAGGTTAGGTTAGGTTAGGTTAGGTTAAATAATTGGTCATGTTTTTTATACCATGAAAATAACGAATACAGAATACATATTTAATAAGCACATAACCACTGTTGTACCTATAATGCATTTGGCTGGGCAGTCAAAATATTTGTTTGTGTAGTTACTGCGTTTTGTCAGTAAGAATCAATCATTCCTTCAAAACAGCACAACTAACTAAACACAAATGACTTAACCTATAATTAATTTGAATTGCAGAGATCTCAAGGAATTCCAATGAAATGATTAGGAAATAACTGGACCTGTGAGACAAAATGTACTGTGTTTACTGTATAATGTTGGCTAGTTGAATGTATAACAATTCATTACCTTGTCATCATATATTTTGTTTGGAAAATCTTGATTAAGTAGTATATTTGAATGTTTCTCTCTGAATTGGAGTGGAGCAGAAGTAGGAAGTGAAATGAAATGGACAGGGTTTTGTAGGTTATTTGTAAAATGTAATCCAATAAAAAAAATATAGTTTATATATTAGTAACCTAATCCAAGTCTCACAATATTAAAGTAACATATTTTGATTACTTTCCATTACTTTTGGATTACAGCAACGCAAAATATGAAAATAAAAACGAGAGAAAAGAGTGACTTCAGAAAAGAAAATGCAAACAAAAAAACTGAAGCATTTTCAGCATTAAAAATGTGTCAATTGACTAAATGTAACTATAATCTGATTACAACTTTTCTTTGTGTAACTGTAATGGATTACAGTTACCTTTTTTGTCATATCCAGATTACATAATTTATTTACATGTAATCTGTTACTTCCCAAGCCTGGAAATGGAAATACTCAAGTAAAGTACAAGTACCTCAGCTTTGTTCCTGAGTAAATGTACTTTGTTACACTGAAATGCTAAAATACATTAATGAAACCGAGTGACAAGCAAAAGTCAGGAGGTGACTGAGATTTTATAACAATCCGTAGCCAGCACAATGACGCTGCTCATATTGCAGTCCATTACACCGTCCAGGTGGTGGGAGGAAGGTCCCGGGCTGCTCTATAAAAACACAATAAGGATGTTTAATTAGTAATGACCTGTGTGAGTAAAAGACTTTGGAGATCCCTGTATATCCTGCTCACACACACACACACACACAGAGAGCATGAAGCATGATGAATGACTGTGTCTCAGAGTAGCCCTGACCTGGTTGAACACAGAGACGGATGTGAGGCAGAGGGGGAGGAAAGAGGAAGGACGGTGGAGACACAGATCATGTTGCAGCCATTACGAGGGATGTGGCTGAGGCTGCTTTCCGGTATTTAGACGTACAGAGTGGGAAAACTCATGTCTCCTCTAGTGCACCCCCAATCCTCAGTGCCTGATTTATGGATTCAGGAATCACTCCCTGGACAGTTGCTTTGTGTATTTAAAATTCGGGGATTGTTAGTAGTTGTGGCAACTGTGTGTGTGTTTACAGCAAAACACAGCACCAAAACACTCATTAAAAGAAGTAGAGGAAATCTAAAGCTGTAGCCCAGAAATGTGCATCACAGAATCTGAATACAGAAATTGTTTCACATCAGAGATAAAGAGACACATTTCATCCGATTTCATGCTTTTAAACTGAAATGATTCCCCGCTCTTTCTCTCCTATTTGATGGCTGTTGCTCTCTTTCCCTACTTCACTCCCTCAATCTATCACCCCCTCCATCCCTAGCTGCACTGGGCTGTTGCCATAGAGACAGGTTGCCAGGTCTCAGACAGTGAAGCTGAATGGGTTAATTAGGAGGCGGAGCATGTGCAGCCCTCCAGATGGTAGTAAGTCCTCCCTCACCACAGGTCTCCAGGGACCTCCTCTCAAAGAGAAAGCCTCTCCTGTTTAGTATTCAGCCCCTCGTCGTCGATCCAGGGGCTGCATTTATGACCCTGTAGTCAACAATGTGGGATTATGGGAAATGAGGGGGAAAGATCCTCCTCTTCAGCTCTGCTCGACTGAGAAAGGCTTACTCAAGATCTTTTTCTTGAACCCTGATCTGATTAAAGGACGAACATGGTCCATCCAAACCAAAAAAAATTGAAAATGTTCTTTTGCTGTCCTCTGTAAACTGTAAACATGTCATCTCTATGCATGCAGGAAGCCATCTTGCCTTGTTTTTACAGATTAAAGAACTGTGTCAGCAGCGCCCCCAAGTGTCTGCATTCAACAGGACGTGTTTATTGTTACCCCACTTACAGCACTAACAGTTTGTTCAAGTGACAGTGGAATAAATATTTCAGATGTGTAACAAACAGTGCAAATACAAAGAGTGTAATTGTAGAAAAATAGCAGCTAAAAGAAAATAAAGTGATAACTGTGCCTGACCAGTATTGCAGATTCTGTATTTTAAGCATATTTGACTACATGAACATGATCATTTCCACAAAGCAATACAAGCAAGTTTAGTGCAAACTCATTACATTGCAATATTTTTACGTAAACCATGTAATTTAGTTTGTGCATGAACTAAAGACAAAATGTAGCTTAACATTTTTAAGACAGTTTCAAATGTTTAACAAGTCATACATATTCAGTCTTTAATGTTAAATATTCATTAAATATTCATAGTCACCCTATTTGACATTCCAGTGTACAACTACTCTATAATTTTAACATCTTAAATATACGTCAAGGGGGCAGGTGAAATATAAATATAATCTGCACTTTAAGTTATACATTCAGTGTTTAATGTGCAATGGTTTGCAGTTTGGTTTGGTAAGAATTTATATGTGAATGGTGCAACAGTGCCACTCAGTGGCAGCTGTACTGTAATAGAGTAAATGTATCTGCTGCTGCAAGAATGTTGATCTTTTCCAATTCTGTGACTTTGTTTGTGGCTGCTGCTGCACCCTTAGGTGTTAAAGACAAGGTAGGTGAAGTTCTCCTGCTTGGGTTTGACACTGAAGTTGTAGTGTCCAATGCGGTTCCTTTGGTAGTAGAACAGGCAGATGAAACCGACGATGAAGAAGAGCGATAGGCCAACTCCGAGACAGGAGAATCCAACTATATGAAGAGTGTTCATTCCTTCCTCCAAGGACTCTGCAAGAATATATTCCAAGGTAAATCATTACAAATCAGTACACACAATTGTGATTTTTTTCTTTTTTTAACACATTTTTTGAGTTTAAAGTCTGTTTGTCCAATGTCCTGACATTAAAGGTCCAGTGTGTAACATTTGGAGGATCTATTGGCATAAATGGAATATAATATCCATAGGTAGGTAGGTTTAGTAGATTTTCATCAGTATATAATAACTTGAATATAGGAATCATTGGGTTTTTGTTACTTTAGAATGAGCCATTTTTATCTACTTATGCCATGGGTCACGCTTCCATGGTGCCCACCATGTTGAACCACCGTGTTTCTACAGTAGCCCAGAACAGACAAACCAAACGCTGGCTGTAGATAGGACCTTTTGCAGCCACTGTAGTTTCTCCTATACACTTCACAGCCTGTTCTCATTCCCAGGTCGTCAAATACATATGCGAGTGGTATTCAGTTAGTTGCAATCTTTAACTCCACCGCTAGATGCCACAAAATCCTACACATGGGTCCTTTAAGTTTATATGGAAAAGAAGCATGGCAACTTCTCATTTTGCTATCTTCGACATTGAATAAAAAACCCACTTCAGCTGGAATTAAACACCATTTTTGAGTCAAATTTAGGCGCAGCTGAACCACCCATATTGTTATTCTGCTTGAAAGTACTCACCATCAGACTCACCAACATCTAACCTCAGCAGAGGCCCAGAAGAACCGAAAGCTGTTCCTATTGTGTTTGAAGACCGAGCTGTTCTTTGTAGACAGTCCTACAAGAAAACACACGCAAAGTTCTTTAACACTCGAACAACTAGATGCTTCAGTCAGAGTGGGGGAATTATATTCATCCACTCTATAGGAGCCTCAAGGTGGTATCCTATTGTTTCGAATAGGATGCACTCACAGGCACACAGCTATCTGATGCAATGTGTACACAGATCTGGACCTGGCAGTGCAGATAGATCACATTCAGTTTGACGAAGGAGAATATCTGTATGGACACACGAGACGTGCTGAAGTTTCCGTTCATCAACACTTTGGTGTATGGGTTCAGGGAACAGCTGCGGGAGCAGAAAAAAAAGGATCTGATGAGAAACTGAACCGCAATTTCTTCTTTTGGTCTTTGCCTGCATCTGATATCTAATAATCATTAGATAATCATTATCTTGATATATTTTATATATATATATTATCATCACTACTTTGTTGCTGCTGTTTACATTCCCCCAGATTGTTTCCTGGGTGTATACATATATGAATATGAATAACTGTCTTTTATTTATCTTTTATATTATTATGTGAATTACATTATCTTTTTCTATGTGTGTAGCATAAAGGAACTACAAACTTACATTTCGTCATACAGCCTTGTGTAAAATGATGAATATATTTCTTTGATACCTTGATTCTTCACAAAAATACCTTTTGTCTTTTCAAGATAATCATCCCCTTATCACAAGAAAAAATTTTACATTCTTGAAATGAAATATCAATATATGAATGTTAGAAATCAGAACCCCATATGTTCGTCAAGTGAAGATTGATGGTAACAGTCATATGTATACAATAATGAGGAATAGCTATAATTAAAGTGAGAGACAATGTATCAGTTATAGTAGCTAGCTGAAATACTAATAGTAATAGAAACAGTCGGTAGAAGCAGACCTGTTGTCCAGGAAGACGTAGGTGGAGATGTCTGCAGGGTTTTGGGTGGGAGTGGCCCAGCATTTGTTGATAACTACTTTAATCTGCTCTGAGGAGGTGTTGAGGCTGACTTCCAACACCACAGCCTCCTCAGGGGACAAGCTGTAGTTGTGGGGTATAGGCATTGTACCATTCATCAGCTGCACTGTCACCTGGAACGACCCGGAGCCCATGATGATATCTTTGATCATGTCATACCTGGGAACGGGCGACAGGAAAATATACAGCTATAAACACAACAAGAACACACTGCAAAACAATAAAAAATAACATGTTATATCTAGATCGTTTAATCTGTAAAAAAAGTGTAAAAATGACAATTAGTTTCTGGTTACTTAGTGACCTTTAGAGGTGCTGATAGGCAGATTCTGTTATCTTCGGACAGAGCCAGGCTAGCTGTTTACCTCCTTCCCAATCTGTATGCTAAACTAAGCTAACCATCCTGCGGCTCCAATTACACATACCGTACAGATTAAATGGGCAGTATCAATCTTTTCGTCTAACTCTTGGCAAGAAAGCAATTAGGCACATTTCCGTTCCATAATATACTGTAGATCTGCAGTGTAGCTGCTCTTTTAAAAACCACTTGTTCATTACATGTTTTGACAAAGTTCTACATCTACGTCGTACCCCATGGGGCTGAAGTCAGCGGAGATAAGCTTGCTCTTCAGGTAGGTACACATGATGGGAACCTCCAGACGTATTCTGGGTACCTTCACTGTTGCATTGGGTGAGGTGGCATCCATGGTGTTGAACAGGGTCACAGATGCCATGTAGTAAGTGTCATTCTAAAACACCAGGTGACACAAGCAGTTTGTGTTATTTTCATAGTTAAGGTGTTTCAATAAAAGCATAAGAAAATGCCAAAGTTTCTCAAATGCAAGACTTTGTCAGATGAAAAAAAAAACTCACATGCACAATCGTAGTGTCACACTCATCCCAGGCCACGGTCAGCTGGACATGGGTGGCATTGCCTCCGTTGACGCCACATTCTGACATGCCTATATACAGAGCGCTCTCCCTGATATTGGTGCTCAGAAGAAAATCCTTGGCAACTGTTACAGTGATGGCAGCAACCCTGCACTTGACTGAGATGGCCCCTGGCATAAAGCCATTGGTGGCAGTTTTTAGGGCAGTAGCCTTGGTGGTCGGAGCTGTAATGGTCGTAGTGAGACTGCTAGCGATAGTTGTGGGGTTAGAAGTCATGGATGTCATTGCAGCAGTTGTTGTTGTTGGGGCTGCAGTTGTTGTTGGGGCAGCAGTTGTTGTTGTTGGGGCAGCAGTAGTGGTTGTCGGGGCAGATGTAGTGGTTGTGGGGGCAGCAGTTGTTGTTGTGGGGGCAGCAGTTGTTGTTGTGGGGGCAGATGTGGTGGTTGTCGGGGCAGCAGTTGTGGTTGTCAGGGCAGCAGTAGTGATTGTTGGGGCAGCAGTGGTGGTTGTCGGGGCAGATGTGGTGGTTGTGGGGACAGCAGTTGTGGTTGCGGGGGCAGCAGTTGTGGTTGTCGGGGCAGCAGTAGTGATTGTCGGGGCAG